AGCCCACAGTCTCAACTTGGTAGAACAGTCCAGCACTCCATCTTTTATTTGAAGACATCCAATGAGGAAGAATTGACAGTTCTTCTATGTCAGGAGTGTCCAAACATGGGAACTTTAAGACTTGTGGACGTCAACTCCCAGAATTCCCTAGCCAGCTGGCTGGAGAATTCTAGGAGTTGAAGTCCACAAGCTTAAAGTTCCCAAGTTTGGACACCCCTGTTCTATGTGATTAGTTCCATATCAAATTGCTGTTATTTTTCAAATCAAAGTCCAATATGGAAGTCTGGCCAGCACTAGCTTTTTATCCCTTTTTTCTTGCTTCTTCCTTTTGCAAACCTTTTGGACTAATTTCAGTTGCCATGTATATTTCTTGTATGCTTGCCTGCCCTTGGGAGACACGTATGGAATAAGTTTCATAGCCATCCTGAATTCAATAATATTTATTACTGAACTCTATCAATGATGAACAGCCCAACAGTATGAAATGGGGCATTGTTTAGCATTGAAGACTTGAATATCTCAATTAATGGTAAGATTCATTGATTGGTACTGTTGCCTGAGATAGTTCTGAATCAAATGTTCTACAGATCTGAAGAATGTCTGGTTTGCAGCTTGGATTACACTCAGAACAAAATTATGATAATCAGTGGTGGGATTCCAAATCTTTTCCTACCGGTTGTATGAGAGTGCACTTTGCGCGCACACGCAGCACTCAAAGACGCCCTTGGTGTCAGCGCTGCTGAGCTGTTTTTTAACTCAGCCGAGGTGCGGCAATCCACTCTGTAGCACAAATCAGCTGAGCTAAAAAAACCAAGGGAATATAGGACAGGGAGTGGCGGGAGTGGCGGGGACGGGAGTGGCGGGGCCAACTGGGGTGATATTTTCCAGTTCTCCAATCTACTCAAAATTTCTGCTACTGGTAAGCCAGAGCCGGTCTGAACCGGCTAAATACCACCTCTGATGATATTTAATGACAACCTGTTCACCTGCCCTCCCAAAATTGGAACTCATGCTCATAAATTAATGTTCCTACAATACACTTAACCAAATTACTTACAATTTTGGTTTCATTTGCTAAGCTTAGACAGTGTGATGATTCACTTTTGTGGCTTAGTGTGTATTTTATGAATGTAAGCCATTTGGCTGATTTATAGTTCCACATATTCCACAAACTAAGAAATGGATTAATTTCTAAGTTAGATTTGGAGTTAGATTAAAAGCATGTGTGAACAAAGGCCAGTGCACCCTAATTCTATAAGCAATACCAATCAATTTAGTCTACCCAGATAAGTCTATCAAGAAAACAAAACAATTAGGTGATTCCTATTCTTTTCTCCTATGAAGAAAAACAAGTTTCTCCTTAAAGAATTTATGGGCAGTGGTCCACAAATGTGTTTGCTTTAATTTTGTTAAATTTATGCTAAGTTTTTCATTGCTTCTCCTTCCTGCCCCCTCTCTCTTAATCCCCTTCTATTTTCAAGACTTTCCTTGACCCCCTACTTTTTTTGCTTCCTTGCTTGTTCCCCCCTCCCCCCTTTTCTCTCTCATTTGAAAGCTTTTAATTTCTCCATATTTTTATTTGAACCCAACCCTAGAGAACTGGTCCCTATGTTTGAAAACTTGCACCGAGCTCGCAACGGAGGGCTTAGGATCTCTGAGGTGAGGAAATTTCCTGATGGAGCTCCACCGTCGTATCACTCCTTCACCTCTGGCCTGAAAGCCTCCACTCCTTCTTTTTGCACAGGAGAAAGGTAGGGTTGATGCCACCTCCTTGCACGTTTTCGTGCCCCTGGTGTGTCTCATGCCCTTCTCTCTCTCTCTTTCTCTCTGGTGTGTGGACTCTGTCTTGTGCTGCTGCTCCCTCCTGGTTTTACTCCTTTGTTTGTTTCTACGTGTGATAAGAGTTGAGTTGGCTTCCTTTGGGTTCCTCCTTGGCCCTTGAAAGAAAGGCACAACCATGCACAATTCTTTATCTCCCTCTTCTGGCCGGAGGCCATCGTTACACCCCCCATCCTGGGATCATTATCATAGTTGCATTTTCAAGGGAAAAATTTAGGTGCCGTCTCCAAAAAGATTAACCCAACACACACAACATCATGGCTAACCCAGAATCTCATTTTCTAGCAGGACTTGTGGCAAAGCGTTTTCAGCACCAGTTTCTTTCCAGAAAGAGGGTCAGTATGGCTGGGTCTGGACGGTTTCCACCTTCCAAGTCTCCTTTGCAGTCCACCTCATTTCATCATCTTTTCTCTCTCTCCTCTTCTCTGCCTCCCTTGATTCCTATTTCTCTGTCCATCTTCTCATCACTTCTCCATTCCCTATTCATTTCCGGAAGCTGGATAGAAGAAGAAGCTCCGTCACCCAAGTGTTTGCGCCTAAGGTAACCCTTCCCTTTAAAATGGTGGTCTCTGCTTTTATTCCCTCCTCAGAGAGAGGGAGGCAGCAGGACGGTAGGTTGTCCTATAAAATCTCATTTCCTGCTGAGGTAGGGGGAATAACGTGTTGGGGAGGGTGAAAGGAGAAACAGCACTGAAAATGGAAATAGCACAAGGGGGACCAAGAGAATTGTTTGCTGCATTGATGCTTAGAGACAAGGGAGGTCAATTTCCCAGGAAACCAGGGCCCACTTTTCACAGTAATTCCTTAGGACCTCAAGTGGTATTTCTAATTCATGTTGTGGTATCACCAGAAGTGGAAAGACCAAACATCTGAATCAGGGACATGAGGAAGGGTAGTGTTTTCCTCCTTCTCCAAGTAGGAAAAAGTGTCCATGACATTGTTTTTTGTTGAAGGAATAGGGTTTTTAAGGGTGAAAGGTTGTCTTAAGCCCTCATAAGGTTTAAACATTATTTATTTTATTTTGATTTATAATTATATTTGAAAGAAACAATATAATTCATATAATCTAATGATTTTGGAACTGAGCTGGAAAAAAAAATCAAGTCCAGTTGCCTTTAGGAAAAGCACATTTGGGACAATCACAAACTGGATGATTGAGAATCTCCACAGAAATGTCCCCATGTCTTCATCCTGTCCCTAGCCCAGGACATTAGTGTTAAATCATCTTTGGCTGTTCCAGTGTTAAAAACAATATTTCCCCCCTAATGCCTTCACAAGCTTTGCTTTGGGCACAAGCTGATATATTTCACCAAGCATTCTGTGGGTGCAGTTAGATGAACACTTTAGGTTGACTCTTCTCTCCATGGGAAGAGTCTTCTAGGTCTATTTTGATTTGGGCAACAGGCTTTCAAAATAGAACCACCTCTTATACATGACTCAGAAACTTAGAGCAACCTGAATAGCATCTCCCCATCAGTGGTGGTGTGGAAGTCACACAAGAAAGTAGAAATGAGAGGTGCTCCCCTGTTGCTCCCTAAGCATAGCTCTCCCAACACCTATCAACAGTGGTCCTAAGGCTACTGAGCAGTCTTCCAGAAGAGCAATGAACTTATGTTCAAAAGAAGCATAAAGAAAAGATGACAGGTCTAGGGAAAGGTTACCCAGTGAAGCACAGAGAGGCATCTTATTTGCCCATTGACTGTACAGAAGACCTGTTAAATTCATATTAAAAAGCAGCCAGGTCTCTGAGCTGAGGACTGGTTGAAAGCTGTAAGAGAAGCAATTGGGATTGACAGTGAGAACAGCAAACTCTATTCCATTTTGGGTTTCCTCACAACCAAGAGGAGGACCCCTTAATGGAGATATTGGGAAGAGCTATCAATAGACAAGAATAACATGAGTAATGTGACCTCTGACCTTCTTGGCCAATATGTTCATTTCAGATCTGAACTAGGCTGATCATTTTTTAAACCAAGCCTTCCTCCAGCAAGCTCTGGTGATGCTGGCTTGTTTCATAGAGGCCAAGTGAGTTGTCCATATCAATGATGGGATTGGAAATCGTAGTGAATGTTGGGGTGTCCTGAGTGAGGTGTTCTGTGGATGGTGCTCTCACAACATTCATGAAGTCCTGTTGGCCTCAGCATGGCTTTCCTCTCTGCCCTTCCCCTTACTAACCTTTTCCCCTCTCTTCCTTTCTTTTTCCTTCTTGTCTTCTCTCCCCCCCTCTTCTTTTTGTTCTTGTTTTGTTTTGTTTTTGTTTTCCTTCTCCTCTCTCTAGCCAGATCTTTAGTAGTAAAAGGAATTTCTTTCGGATTCCCACCGGCTGGAAACAGAGGTACCGAGGCTTTGGATCTGCTGTCCAGGAGATGTTTGGGGACTTGTCTTGATCTTCATACTCTATTTGCATTATGGTTGTCCCATTGATTCAAACCCTTCCCTTTTTAATCATGGGCAGTGGAGAAGTGCATGGGGATGTCCTTCCTTCCCATTTGTTATGATGCCCTTCTGGGGTGGAGATATGTTTGCTCTCCTGAAAAAAAATAATGGTATGTCTCCAGTGCAGCTTTCGAGCAGGAATCAAAACAAATGCACTTGGATTCAACATGGGCCACCTTGGGATGGGAGATCAAGATCCCAGGGACCCCTGTTGCTACTGAACACTTTCTGAATTCTTCCTTTCTTCTAAAACCTTCTGCTTCTTTTCTCTTCTTCATCCTTGCCCCAACCATCCAAGCCACATTATGCTGACCTCTGATGACCCTAAGAGAATAGCTGGATTAATGAAAAGAAATCAAAACACTTCAACATGCTATGGATTTCTTAGGATGTTTAAAATGTAGGGCAGGATAATTTGTTCCCAAAGCAACCAACTCTGACATGGTTCTAAAACGGTTCTATGTTCCTGGAGTCTTGGAGAGTGAATCTAATAGAAAATGGTACCTGATGGTGGAAGGTTCAGTCTAATATGGAATGCAATCAATCATTTCAGGCCAAGATAGTAATCTAGTGGGCCACCATCATGACACTTTGTACCTCAACTTTGCTTCAGTTTTTTTTGTTTCTCTCTGATTTTTCATACCCCCAAATCTCAAATCAGAAAGATTGGTATCCTCGGGTCCTACTTTTTTTTAAAAAAGTATAAAGCTGTGCTGGAGATTTACCTTCTTGTAGCTGCCTGATTATATTCTGGGTCTGGAATAACTCTTAGGGCCAGTGGTAGCCACTTGGAAACATGAATGCATGAATATAGGAACATCTCCCTCATCCTTCCAGATGTAGTCATTCCATTAGCTGTGTGATTCTACTTCTTACAAATGGGCAGATTTCGATTTGAGACATGGATGCAATCCATGAACACTTTGGCTAGATAATTTAGCAGTCCTGGAAAGAGTTAGACATAGTCCGTTGGCTTGTCAGATTGAACCATGCCATAGAAGATATTGAAAGAATCTTGATTATGTACAATTCCATGCCCTTTTTCTTCTTTCCATGACATTAAGACTTGGTGATTGTCATGGAAGAAGTCACACCCAAACTATATTCAGCTGAAGAAGGAATCTGACCTTGTTGGGAATTTTACCCTAGGGCTGGCCCTGAAGTTATTCCAGTTTTATTAATTGAGCTGCATGGGGGAAAGACTAAAGGAACGGGGAATTCTGGAGATTGAAAACTGGCTGTTGGAACAATCTCCAATCCAAGGTGGAAAAACCAGGGCCCTCTGCCCTTACTGGAAAAAGGCAACTCCCCTGGGAATGCAGAGTTGCTTTGAAAATTCTCAAGAAAGTCAACACTAGTGTCCATGCTGCTCTATAAGACAGGCCAAAAAGAGCTGCCAGTTTTCCTCCATGGGAAATGTGGATGATCTCAATGGTGCCTTCTTGCAAGATGGTGAGAAATTAGCAGGTCAATGATCATTGCTCTGCTTTCACTGATGATGCCTCCCAGAGTGACCCTTTCACAATGCCTCCAATCATTGTGCAAAGACATCCTTGCAAGTTAGATGACAAACTATCAGCACATGATTCATTTAAAAAAGTTTTCACTCCTCTTTTTGGCACCTGCTGGGCCATGGCTGTGACCAGAGACCAGTGCTGCTGTGGCTGCCTTATTCCTTCATAGCTTGCTTCAGGTGGAGATCTCAGATATTGACAGGCTAATGTAGCAAAAGCAATCTAGATATGTGGCAGCTCTAGGTAGCTTTAGAATGCAGGGATGTGTCTTCTGGAATTATGAAAGCTACTGCAGCATGACAAAAATATTTCTTGGGAATGAGGAAAATAATTCCCAAGAATCAATCGGCTCTTGATCTGGTATAGAGTCACCTCTGTAAAGCAAGTGTAGCAGTTCAGTTCTTCTTGTCATTTTCTCTTTTTGAGATACTAAGGCATTTTTCCCAAAGTTGCCATCCTCCAAATCTCTTGTGCTACATCCCTTAACTACTGCTTTTGGGCCACTGTAGGCCAACACAGCTGGATGAAACCACCTTGGGGAAACAGCACATGAAAGGTATCCAATAAAAACCTGGTGCTTGTTGGAGGGTTGGTCAGAAAATGTTGCTTAGGTGTTACTTAGGAACGGGATGGGACTTCTGAAATATCAACTATTTCCCTAAATTCAAGTCATGCCTGCAGCTTAAAATCCCATTGCAAACAGGATATTTTGTTGAACAAGCTTTCTGGAGAAAAAGTCACTTGGGATTCCTTGCTTAGCCAGCTGTGCAGTGAGAATTATGTTCATTAATGGCTGTAAGATAAATAACCAAGGTTTTTCTGTGATGTGGGTGGTATCTTTTAGCCAAGATTGACTCTTGTTGGCTGCCTGGACAAGTCCCTGCAATTTTCTTGGCAAGATGGTTGCCATTTGATCCTTTCTTAGGATGGACATGGGTCTGACTCAAAGGTCACCTTTGTGC